ATCCTCAGATCCTACTATCAGTTTGTCGAGAGTCGCTTGGACCGAGAAAACTGGTATCCTGAAGACCATTCCTCCTTCCAAATCCTCACCATTAATGATCATCTTCCCAACTCACAGGACGCAACATAACCCAAGGATTTCAAACAAAAAACGTAACATATGACATGTCACGTTCTCACGGCGACGATGGTGAAGAAACCTGTCTTCTGGGTCGTTGCGCTATGTAGTCTCCTAGTTTACCGACGTTTCGGAGGTACTTGATTCGAAGAACAATCATCGCCCTGTTGATGGAAGCAGAAAGCAACTCCGAAACGTCGGTAAACTTCTACCATACCACACGGCGGGAAAACCCAAAAAGACAAATGTCGTAACGTAGTCGGTAAACTTCTACCAAACCACTCAAAAGACGATGTCGTAATATAATATCGAACTCGGTGTTGCTTGAAGCGTATCTGAAACATCGGCAAGAATTCCGTTAATTGGCCGACGTAATCAAATTTCACGTACGGAAACAACGAATGGCGGAAACCACATCATCTGTTACAAATTAGCCAGGAAACGCGAATATGACGAGTTGATAATTGCGCGTGCTACGACAAAAGCTAAGCGGTAATTTAAAACGAGCGAGAGACTACGTCGTAGCTGAGCGTAATGTTACGTTTCTCTAAGACTCTGCCCCGTGTAGTTACGGTGTTCAACGTTCCATGCATTCCTAGGTAACCCCCCTGAAAGATACATAACTGACGTGAAAATGCAGCATCCTAAAATAATTTCAAAAAAAAAAAATGTGACTGTTCCCTTGACAGGATAAAGGCGAGGGTGAATTTCTTTTAGCCGAGGAATAAGAGCGAACCCTTTGAAACCGAACAGGTTATCACAGCAGCGAATACGAAAGATCCTGAGCTGTCTAGTACCGTAGAAACGTTTCACAGACCATCACCATGGTACCCTGATGACGAGACAGTAAACAGCCCCCGAAACGACGGAATATTCCAGAAGACAGCCATTTTCAACTGAGAGGGACTGGGGTTCGGACGCAGTGTGAGGTAAAATTTCTCTCCATTCAGGAAACAGCTGATCATCAACAAATGAAACATAATCACAGAGAAACATGACATGCTATGTTATGCCTACCTGACGACGAAGTTGACACAGACGACACTGTGAGGCTTCTGGACAGTCTTGTTACCGTAGATAAGCGTTGCCTGGGTCAGAACCCAGACGTACCCGCCGTTCTTCGCCAGGAAGCGGTATATCCCAGTCTCGCACTGCCCTTTCGAAAACACTGCAAAAGACACAAACATTTCAAAGGTAATCGATCGAGAGTCCCTTATTTCCTTAAACAGCGTTAACAAGTCGATCTTTGTAATGGTGAAGTGTTTTCTTTGCGGTACGGACTGAATTCCTTAAACGAGTTTCGATTTCCGACGTTTGATTTAGACGGCCGATAATCCCTTCCCTCTAACTCACCCCAAACAGCCAGAGGGCACTGGAAACCTGCCACCCAAAAGGTTTTACGTGTCAGACGACACCGAGATATTAACCTCTGCACAGGTCATCGAAATACCCAGAGAGAAAACGTTTTAACAAGCGACAGTTTCGAAATAAAACAGCTCGGGCTTTGTTTATTGGTTCAAAGAAGCTGTGGACATGGCAGCGCTGAACAGAAGTAATTGCAGAGAATTATTTTAAGATGCCATCCATCCGAACACTTTGCCTGGAGAGGCTTACGAGAACCTCGTGTTTCTCACAGGTTGGCAACATTTTGGAAAGGCAAACCAAAATATCTCACAGTGGGTTTAAAAAATTCGGGAACACTTCTTTCAGACCGAAACACATTCCGCGAAAGTTATTCTGGAATCCATAGCTAGCAGAAAAGTCCTCCAACTGAGCGAAACCTTCAAGGAAAAAGTGGTTATATCCGAGATCACCAGAAACATCAAAGCTAGGGGTCTTCCTATCCTTCAGCGTCCAGTTGACGTATTCCAACAAATTGTACAGAAATCGGCTTAGATTCATACGTCATAAGATAATTCACGTTCATGCGACGGTTAAAATGACTAATGTTTGACTTGGTTGTGAGACCGTGCAGACTCGTAGCCCTGAAGATGGAGATAATATGCTTCTCCGAAACGTTCGTATACACCTGCGAGTTTACATGGCGAAATGGACTGTGGTGAAGGGAGAATCTGTTGATGGGTTTACGACAAAACGGAGTGTTTAAGTGTTTATTACGTGACAACAAGGTTCAATGGAATGTAAGTGGAATTTACAAATTCCTTTTCTTTCAAACGGGGACCAAGGTGTGCTGACAAGCGAGAAAGCATCTTCAAATTCTGAAGTTTAAAATGTACAATCACAGTTAGGAAGAACAAATGAGAACGTAAATGGTTACAAAATCTGTAAAAGTGAAATTATTAAACAGAACTACATGACGCATTCAAATCAGTCCGCCACTGATATATTTCGTTCGCCTGTAGAGCAAAATTTTTTTTTAAAAAAAAAATCCCTCTCGCGTTCCGGTTTACGTTTAAAAAATTTGGGGAAAAGAAACTGAAAATTTTATAAACAACCAAAAACATACTATCGATTTGCAAATGAATTTACCTAAAAAGAGACAAATCTTCCGGAACATAAAACTTCAAATCACACCCCTTACATTACTTTTACGCCAATGAAGTAAAGAAGTAGCCTTTTTAACGCGGCAATGAATCGTACATGTGAATACGTGATAATATTTTTTAACTAGCTGAGCAACTATCAATTTCCCACGACCCCTGTATTTTTACTTATTTAGTGTTCTGTCTGACGACAGGTCCATATGAACAGGATCCTTCCACCCTTTTCTCGGACTGGGACCTGTTCATATACGTTCTTGGCAGATGATCCAGAAGTGGTTTGCCATTGCCTTCTTCTGTGTGTGAATGGAGTAATTGTTGGGATGCCACGGAGGAAACCTCCGTGTTGCCTAGACCACGGCCTTGCCAACACAAGTTGTAAATTCGGGCACCGCCGGGAATCGAACCCGAGACTCCCAGGATTACAAGGCCAGCGTTCTAACCGCTAGACCACCGTGGCGCCTACGACCCCTGTGATACTAGTATTTATGTTCCTTCTGTTTGACTGAGGTTTATAGGGACTCCGGCTGCAGTGAACATCCCGTACCCAAAAAACAGTTTTGGAAATAAACTACGTAACACCCTGTTGAGATCAGGGTCACTCGATTTTATTGTATAACACAAGAAGGAAAGTTAAACTCAGTGAATATCGCCCTTAAGATCGAAAGTCAAACACGAAACTCTCCTACACATCGCAGAACACGAAGGAATGTTACATTTATTGGGCTAACCAAATCTTGGCAGAAACTCCGTAATGATAAGACAGTTTTGCACTGAAGTGATGGGAGTTTTATGTCGAGTGGCTCAACTCAAGAACAGACATTAACAGCACGTGCCTCGAGAAAAAAAAAAGATAGGTACAGTCCAAAACACTCGATCATCCCTTAAATTAAGACACAGAAGACATTGTCCTCAACAGTTACAGAGGCTGGATGAACTGGACCTTTACCAAAGACAACGTTTGGAAATCAAAAGAAATCAACATGTTTTTTTTTTATTTACAGAGTTTTTAAATATCCTACGGTTATATATAAAATATGATTTCAAACGGACAGTAACCAAAACACACAAAGACGATAATCATAAGATGTCGACGGATTTAATGACCATGGATCAAATAACATTCGCGAGGAAGCCGGATACTTTGCATCTATAGCAGGGGTACTCAACCTTTTAAGACCTGTTGATACGCCAGTTTGAAAGAAACGTTCTGTCTCCATCCCCAGGGTTTAAACTTCAACCCTAAAGATGGTGTGGTATCTACCTAAGAAGCCCAAAACTCAAAACACTGAGAACTTCAACGTCGCGAGAACTTAAAATACGACCTTTTTTTTTTATTTAAAATAATTCATAAAAAATTATTATACAATATTTCCATTAATTTAAGTCTGAGGTGATTCTAAATTAAATGTAATGTAAATTATAATGCAGAAATAATATTTCGGTTCTACTTTTCGGATTTACATCACTTTACCCCGGTAAAGGCAACGTCCTTGTTACGCACAGTGAACACGAAATGGCTCTTAAGAGGTCTCACTTGAAGCAACACTGACATCTCCATTAATCTCGTGGAGACTGAAAGTATGCAGATTTATATATATATATAAAGCTTCGTTGTCCGTTGCTGATGTCAAGGTAATGAAATCGTAAAAAAATACGAACCTCGCCACTGTCAGCTAAACGTCACAGTCCATAAGAATCCACTTATGGACGAGACGACGACTCTTATACAATACATGATAATGAATACGGAAATTAAATTCTTAATCGCCTCGTAAACATGAAAAAGCCGGCCTCGTGTATGCGTGTCTTTTCAGATGATTATCATTATCTGCTGAGATAAAACTCTGCAAATTACGTATCGCATAGGCCTACTTCGGGTACAAACAAGATTATATTCTGTGACGGAGTCAACTAATTCCACGGAAGAGTCTTTTTTGAGAAGCCAACGTTTATTATTCCAGTCAACAAATGTCCGACTAAAACTTGTCGATGTTGGTTTTCTCGTTTGTAAAGCAATATGCACATACTGCCTCCATCTTCTGGGATGATGTGTGCCCTGAGGTATGAGGCATTATATCCCACCAAAAAGTTGCTATCTGCCTACTGCACAAGTCCACAAGCGTAATAAGCCAGGATATCAACACCGAAATCTTCAGTACTCTTATAATTAAGCTAAAAACGACTTCCAACACTAAGAGATGAGAAATCTCACCTACTGAACGGAAAATATAAAATGAGCTTCTTGCAAACTGCAACAGAAAACTATATTTATTGATGAACAACCTGCCTCCGTATTTAAAGACGCTGTCGACCTATAACCGCCACGGTGGTCTAGCGGTTAGAACGCTGGCCTTGTAATCCTGGGGTCTCGGGTTCGATTCCCGGCGGTGCCCGAATTTATAACTTGTGTTGGGCAAGGCCGTGGTCTAGGCAAAACGGAGTTTTCCTCCGTGGCATCCCAACAATTACTCCATGCACACACAGAAGAAGGCAATGGCAAAAC